TATTATCGATCTCTGACTTAGTTCTAGTTCTCCATTTTCTCATCCACATGATATGCCATAGATAAGATACTGCAACTGATAAGATCAAAATGTTTTTATAAATCTGAAGTGTACAAGCACACAAATACGTAAGATTGTCTTTCAAACAAATCTAAGTAGAATGTTTATTGCAGTAAAATGCAAAGAATAAAATAAAGACACTTTTATGCTAGTATAACTGGTAGTATACCTTGAGTGTCATGCCTTATCACAAAATGTGAAAATTCATATTCCGTATAACTCTACTCAAGCCATTGGCAGAGATTTTTTCAGCTGATATTGAACAATTTAATGGATTCCAATGATCATGCCAGACCATCAAAATTTCCAAATGTACTGGGAGTTACAGAGGGTGTGGTACGTTTGGGGAGTGATTTTAGCTGAAGTGCTAAGGCATGTCTAATTGGTTGTGAGTCAGAGCCGACTGACCAATGGGTTTTCACATAGAAGGAAGTTGTCCCTCCTTCTACCACAGAATTGCTGGTGTACTGTCGGAGACCCATCACCTTTGGGTTAGCAGGGCAACTCCCTGTAAACCATGCCCTCAGAGTTGCCTATTAAACCACATGTTGTTGATGTTATGTGCCATCAAGTTGCCTGAGATTCATAGAGACCCCTATGTACAATAAGCCCTAAACCTACCTCTGTCACCCCAATCACTGAGTCAATCCATATCATCAAGGGTCTTCCTCTCCTGTGCTGTACCTCCATCCTCCCAAGCTTGACGTCCCAAGCTTGATGTCCCTCCTTGCAACATATCCAAAGTATGTCAAATGAAGCTTCAGAATCCTTACCTCTAAGGAGCAGCCTGGTTTAACCCTCTCCAGGACAAACCTGTTTGTTCTCTTGGCAGTCCATGGTATATTCAATACTCTTCTCCTACACCATACCTCAAAGGCATCAATTCTCCTTCTATCCTCCCTAGTCATGGTCCAGCTCTCTGATACATAACAAGTGACTGCAAAGACCATGGCCTGGATCAGGCACACTTTAGTCTCCAGAGTGACATCATTGCTTTTCAGTACTTTGGAGAGGTCCCTAACAGCCGACTTTCCCATTGCAATATGTCTTTTAATTTCTTGGCTGCTGGTACCAAGAGTATTGATTGTGCAGTCAAGCAAGCTAAAACTGTTAACAGTCTCAATCTCTTCACCATCTATCATGACACTGCCAATTGGCCCCGTGGTGAGAATCTTTGTTTTTTGATGTTAAGCTTCAATCCATATTAACACTGCAGCCCTTGACCTTCTGCAGCAAGCACTT